CAATCCCAGTTCGTTGCTAGCAGGCAGCCATTGCCAAGCCAACCCAATGCAAACTCCCTCGCCCTCGCCTCTGCAGCAAGCTACGGGCCGCGCGGAGCCGCTTTGAAAGGGCTCGCCGGCCAATCAAAAAGAGACAGCCACGGACCCATGGTGCACTGCTTGGGAGCGCCGGATTGGCTCCCATGCACCAGCACTCCAGCAGCCTCCACCCCATTAACGAAACGAGCGGAGGCTCGTAAATACTATGGGGGCTGCTGGTTCGATATTTATAAACCCTTCCGGGTTTGGGGATTTGTTTCAATATCGCTTCGGAAATGGTAAAATTAACGAATTATTAACGAATTAACGAATTAACGAAACGAATCGCACAGGCCTATTATATAGTATAATAATATAATCATATATAATTATCATAATATAATATAATAATTTATTTATTTATGTATTTATTTATTTCTGCTACTTCTACCCCGCCCTTCTCACCCCCGAGGGGGGACTCAGGGCGGCTTACAAAAAGAAGGCACAATTCGATGCCCTTATCCAAATACATACATATATAAAACAATTAACATAATTAAACAATTAACAGATTAAAAACATCAATATATAACACAATAGCACAATAATAAACAGTCTCATGGTCAGTGTTTCGAGTTCCATAGGTCCAATACGTTTCGTCATTATTTGCCCATCATTATGGTCTTTCTTTTTAGCTGCCAGAGTTTCCAAAAGCCTGGTCCCACATCCAAGTTTTCAGCTTTTTCCTGAATGAGAGAAGGGAAGTCGCTGATCTAATCTCCCCGGGGAGTGAGTTCCACAGGTGGGGGGCCACCACCGAGAAGGCCCTGCTCCTCGTCCCCGCCAATCTCACTTGTGATAGAGGCGGGGTCGAGAGCAGGGCCTCCCCAGAAGATCTTAGACTCCGAGGTGGGACGTAGAGGGAGATCGTTCGGACAGATACACTGGGCCGGAACCGTATAGGGTTTTGTAGGTCAAAACCAGCACTTTGAATTGTGCTCGGAATTGGATCGGCAGCCAGTGGAGCTGACACAACAGGGGGGTGGCATGCTCCCTGTATGACGCTCTGGTGAGCAGTCTGGCTGCCTCCCGCTGGACTAGTTGGAGTTTCTGAGCAGTCTTCAAAGGCAACCCCACGTAGAGTGCGTTGCAGTAATCCAGTCGGGATGTGACAAGAGCATGGACCACCGTGGCCATAAATAGATTTGTAATAATATAATATATAATGATATATATGGAGCTCCTGGTGTCGCAGTGGGTTAAACCACTGAGTTGCTAAACTTCTTGACCGAAAGGTTGGTAGTTTTGAAGTCGAGGAGGAATTTGGAAGGGTCTCGCCCTGAAGGAGAGACCCTGGGGACCCACCAAAGAGGGCTCGCTACTTTGGTGAGCAAAAGAAAAGAAGCCGCAGCTTAAAAGATTTCCCTAAGTTCCCAAAAGAATTTCACCAAAGCTGAAGGAAGCTCCACCAAGTTGATTTTATTGCAATCCAGCTGGAAAGGATGCAAAGCCGGAATAATTCGTCAAGCAAAGCATAACGTGTACACAAATAAAAGCCTTTTTTATACAGAAACAGAGCTGTCAGATTTGAATTTCCCGCTCCCCGCCCCTCTGCCGGCTCGGCGATGATTGGCTGGCACTCTACAGCTGGGAGGAGACTTGGCCGCCTCCTGAGCACCTTGGCCAATCGCTGAGCTTCTGCCGCCTCGACTTCTTGACCAATCAGGAGAGAGGGAGGGGGTGTTGCAATCCAGAGCAGGGAACGAGGCCCTAAGATAACTATCCACCACACTTGACTGTGAAAAACAATCCTTTTTTATTGAAGAAAAATGGTTACAAAATAAAGGAAAAATGCAAGTCAAAAGCCACAGCAAAATCAGCAAACATGAATTTAAATGGACAAAGCAAAACCAAAAGCCTCACTGGGAAATACTGGAACCTGTTAGCAATCCACTAACCGTACTTGATATCCTAGAAATCTTTCAAGACCATGGCCAGGGAAACCGGGAGAACTGCCAAGGTCTTCATCAATCTGAAACGATGCCTGAACTGAGAAAGTCAGCCCGGCTGAAGGCAATTAAAGCCAAAGAATTGGTTCCGTGAACCGTCCCTCTGCTTTGAAGCCAATGTTTTTAATTCTTTAATTCGGGAAGACCTACGCAAGCTGAGTGATTTACTTCTGTCTTGCCAAATCTGGCCCCTTCTGTTCTCATTAAAGTTACCAGGTGCAGAAGGGAGTAAAAGGTCATAACTTCCCTCTGAAACATTCTCATGAACACTGGTACTTTCACTTTCCAAATCTACAGAAGTTCCTTCCTCACTAATTTCAGGAACATTGGCATTTTCCAAACCTACAGAAGTTTCTTCCTCACTAATTTCAGGAGCATTGGCATCAAGAGGTACATTTTCATTAGCATCAGTAAATATATTTTCATTAGCATCAGGAGGAACAAACAGAGAATCAGGTTCAAGTTCAAACTCAGGCTGAACCCCAACAGGTGGGACGAGAGGGAAACAATGAATTCTTGAGTGGATTATGAAGATATGTAGTGTCCAAGCAGTCATTGAGTCCCAGGGGCCTTCTAGTCAGCCATCCCATTGCCTTTGATTGGTGGCAATAAACGTTGAAGTCTGGCAAGCCTGCCAAAATCCAGATTTTCCTGGTGCCAAGATATGGGAACAATGAAGCAGTCTTGGCTGAAGTTTCAGTGGAGGAGGGTTTGAATGGGCAAACAGATCAGGACGAAGTGTGGCTTTCCGAAGGCCCTTTTGTCCTGTTGAGATATGATCATCAATGCCAAGCGGGCACCATCCGCTGGGGGGACCGACTCCAAGCCCCAGGGTGGCTGCCCATTGTATTGTCCATGCAAATAAGTCTTTTGACAAGGTTCTTTGCAATCAGGCAATTTCCTCCTTCCCAGGGTCACCCAGGGGGCTTCTTATATTTTTATACAATTTTTTATAAAAGGGAATAGGGCAGAAGGGTCAGGTAAAGGTCAGATATACAGGGGCTTGAAAAGGTAAAGTTTCCAAAAAGTTTCTAAGAGCCCTTCAGAAGGGAAAAAGTCCCATAGAAGTTCAAGAGAGTACGTAAGTGTAAAGGGAGGTGGTTTCTCAGTAATCAATGTGCTACCTTCTGCTATAAATATATGAAACACAGGGCATAAAACCTTGATTAAATGATACACACTCTCTAACATGGGAAGGGTCCTTGTTGTTGTTGTTAGTGTCTTGGCAAATTGACCAAGGCTTAACCCTTATTATCCAGTATGGTGTCCTTGTCCTTAGCAAAACTATAAGTTACTATCTTTTATGGGGGGGGGGGGTCGTGTTCGACTTCATTTTCAGTAATAAAATTCCAAGAGGGAAAAGGTCCCCCGCCTCCAGGTTTGTAAACCCAGCTTCTGCCAACCTAGCAGTTTGAAAACATGCAAATGTGAGTAGATCAATAGGAACTGCTCTGGTGGGAAGGTAAGGGTGCTCCATGCAGTCATGCTGACAACATCACCTTGGAGGTGTCTGTGGATAATGCCAGCTCTTTGGCTTAGAAATGGAGATGAGCACCAGAGTCCGAGAGTTGAGCACGACTGGACTTAATATCAAGGTGACACCTTTACCTGAATAATATAATATAATATAATATAATATAATATAATATAATATAATATAATATAATATAATATAATATAGAATAGAATAGAATAGAATAGAATAGAATAGAATAGAATAGAATAGAATAGAATAGAATAGAATAGAATAGAATAGAATAGAATAGAATAGAATGTGCTGCAGGATGTCCCTCCCTCCCACAAAGACAAACTTTGTGCAGTTCAGTAAACTTTTCCCATGTTTTTATGAAAGGACCAGTTAGGGCAGTGTTTCTCAACCTGGGGGTCGGGACCCCTGAGGGGGTCGCAAGGGGATGTCAGAGGGGTCGCCAAAGACCATAAGAAAACACAGTATTTTCTGATGGTCATGGGGATTCCATGTGGGAAGTTTGAGCCAATTCTATCGTTGGTGGAGTTCAGAATGTTCTTTGATTGTAATGAACTATAAATTCCAGCAACTACAACTCCCAAAAGTCAAGGTCTATTTTCCCCAGGCTCCACCATTGTTCACATTTGGGCATATTGAGTATTCATGGCAAGTTTGGTCCAGATCCACCATTGTGTGAGTCCACAGTGCTCTCTGGATATAGGTGAACTACAACACCCAAACTCAAGGTCAATACCCATCAAACCCTTCTAGTGTTTTCTATTGGTCATGGGAATTCTGTGTGCCAAGTTTGGTTCAAATCCATTGCTGGTGGAGTTCAGAATGCTCTTTGATTGTAGGTGAACTATAAATCCCAGCAACTACAACTCCCAAATTACAAAATCAATCCTCCCCCAACCCCAGTAGCATCACATTTGGGCGTATTGGGTATTTGTGCCCAATTTGGTCCAGTGAATGAAAATACACCCTGCATATCATATAACAGTAGTAAAATTACAGTTTATGAAGTAGCAATGAAAACAATGTTATGGTGGGGGTCACCACCACATGAGGACCTGTATTCAGGGGTCACGGCATTAGGAAGGTGGAGAACCACTGAGTTAGGGCATTGGCAGCCCAAGACCAATCACCCACTTCAGCGCAGACATGGTGGGATTTCCTGCCTTGACGTGTCTGGGTTCTGTGGCCCTGTGGCCAGGCTGAGTTGAACGGGTTGGGAGACCCATTGAAAAATGACCGCAACATGTGCTCTAGTGTGATGGTGTCCGTCCCGCAAAGACAAAGTTTGGGCACTTTTCTCAACTTTCCCCATGTTTTTGATCCTAGACCCAATTAGGACATGATGGGACTTCTCGCCCAGGGAGAAGCCCCGTGCAGACTCGGCCCGTCCTGCCCAGATAAGGAGGAAGGAGGCCTCCGGTCAGGCAGCCCCGGCCGGCCTCCACGTCTCTCCTGCCAAAGTCCAAGCGACAACGACGCTGCAACAAGGTGATGGCGGTGGTGATGATGATGGCAGTGGTGATGTGTCACCGGTCGGTCCGTCTGCAGAACTATAAATAGGGAAGGGTCGGCCCTTCTGCACAACAGGACAAAGCCAAGCGGAAGGAGGCCAAAGAGGTGAGAAGAGGAATAAGGGATGAAGAGGAGGAGGAGGAGGAAGGGGGCTGGCTGGCTGGCCGGCCGGCCGGAAGGGGGTCCATTCATCTCTTCTCTTGGGATGCTTTGGCTCACTTTAATTCTGGGACCAATGTGCATGGAGGAGGGGAAGGGGCATGGGTTCCCATCCCAGGGGCTGGCCTCAATGGGCAACGCAAAGCTCATCTAGCCTGACCCTTGCAGATTGCAAATTGGAGGCTCAGACCCCCCAAAGGAAGCCCATCCCAGCCCATCTTGCAGGCTAAGCAGGGCCAGCCCCGGTTTGTAATTGGATGGGAGGCCAGCAATGGGGGCTAACCTGGTTCGTAATTGGATGGGAGACCAGCAACAGGGGCTAAGCAGGGCTGGCCCTGGTTAGGACTTGGATGGGAGACCAGCAAGGGGAGCTAAGCAGGGCCGGCCCTGGTTTGGAATTGGGTGGGAGACCAGCAATGGGGGCTAAGCAGGGCTGGCCCTGGTTAGGACTTGGATGGGAGACCAGTAATGGGTGCTAAGCTGGCCTGGCCCTGGTTAGGACTAGGATGGGAGACCAGCGACAGAGGCTAAGCAGGGCTGGCCCTGGTTAGGACTTGGATGGGAGACCAGCAATGGGTGCTAAGCAGGGCCAGCCCTGGCTCGGAATTGGATGGGAGACCGCCAAAGAGAACTAAGCAGGGCCGGCCCTGGTTTGGAATTGGGTGGGAGACCGCCAAAAGGAATTAAGCAGGGCCAGCTCTAGTTTGGAATTTGGTGGGATATCAGCAATGGCGCTGGTTAGGTCTTGGGTGGGAGACCAGCAATGGGAGCTAAGCAGGGCCAGCTCTAGTTTGGAATTGGGTGGGAGGCCAGCAATGCGAGTTAAGCAGGGCTGGCCCTGGTTAGGACTTGGATGGGAGACTAGCAATGGGTGCTAAGCAGGGCCAGCCCTGGTTAGGTCTTGGATGGGGAGACCAGTAATGGGAGCTAAGCAGGGCCAGCCCTGGTTAGGACTTGGATGGGAGACCAGCAATGGGAGCTAAACAGGGCCAGCCCTGGTTTGGAATTGGGTGGGAGACCAGCAATGGAAGCTAAGCAGGGCCAGCCCTGGTTTGGAATTGAGTGGGAGACCAGTAATGGGAGCTAAGCAGGGCCAGCCCTGGTTTGGAATTAGGTGGGAGACCAGTAATGGGAGCTGAGCAGGGTCGGCCCTGGTTCAGAATTGGGTTGGAGACCAGCAATGGGAGCTAAGCAGGGCTTATCCTGGTTCAGAATTGGGTGGGAGACCAATAATAAATTGTGTATTTCAGAAGAAGGAACAGCCATAGGATTCCTTCCCTAAGAAAACCCTACGAAATCCACGGCTGGCCTTGTGTTAGGGTCACACAACAACAGCGAAAGCCACTGACACAGTCTTCCCCCCTTTTTGCAGTCGTCTGTTGAAGATCTCCACCCAACCCAAGGCTGCCATGTCTCCAAAGGGAGCTGCCGTCTTCCTTGGCCTCTTGGCCATCATTGCAGGTATGTTGGGCGGCGGGGGGGGGGGGGTCCTTTTGCCCCAATCTGTCCTAGTTTTCCATCCACTCATTTCCCCACTTTTTCAGCCAGTCCTTCCCATTCCAGCCATTTCCTGCTTCCAGTCCTTCTTTCCCACCCCTTTCCTACAACAGTCTTTCCCACATTTCCATATTCACATACACACAGTGTTTTCCCCAAAATGTATAGCTAAAATAAACATATTGACTTGCGTATAAGCCACTTATATTTGGGTCGGCTTATACTCAAGTATATACGGTATATAAAATATATGAATTGTAATTGGAAAATATAGCCAGCCCCATCGTCTAATTCCTCTCCTTTCCTGTGACCTCAACCCTGTTCTTACCTAGGAGACATAATAAATTATTTATTTATTTATTTATTTAAATTCATTATTAAATTTATTATTTATTTATCTACAGCATTTATATTCTATTTATATAAATATATTTTTATTTATTTATATAGATATAAATATAAATATTTATTTATATAAATATAAATAAATATTTATATTTATTATTTCTTTATTTACAGTATTTATATTCCACCCTTCTCACCTCAGATGTTTATAACAGAAGGACAGTCTGTATATAATAATAATAATAATAATAAAATATATTAAATATAATATAATAATACTAATAATAATATATAAGATTCCTCTCACTTCCTGTTGTCTCAGCCCCGTTCTTAAATAAGAATCATGTATGTTTGTAACTTGGGGACAGCCTAGATAAGTCCATGTGTTATGACCAGGAAGAATCAAGGCATCTCCTGTGTTTACCTTGGATGCCCGTCTGTGCCCTGATTTGACCTTTTGGCCGCTTAGCTCGCTGGGCTCCCGAACCCCCGGATTTAGGGGAGCCGAAAGGGCACAACAGGGCCAGTTTTGGGTGACACGGGCATCCCTTCCATTGGCAACTTCCTTTTTTTAAGAGAGGGAAAAGGTAGAAGAAAGTGGAGATGGGAATGGAAAGGCGAGCGGCTCTGTTGGGCCACGGTTGGGTTGGCTACGAAAGGGTGTTGTGGACTCTGGTGTGTTGGCAAGGAATGCAAATGTGGTGGATTTGGGGGGCTTCCTTGCCGTGCTGACCCCCCTTCTTCTTCGCCGTCCGTGCAGGGGCCCAGGCCGAGGTCAGCGCTGAGCAGGTGGCGGACGTGGTCTGGGGCTACTTCTCGCAGCTGGGCAGCAACGCCAAGGAGGCCGTGGAGGCACAGATCCCCACCTCCGAGGTCAGCCAGAAGCTCAAGTGAGTGCGGCTTCAGCCAAAAGGACCTTCGGGGTCACCATGGTGGGAGGGAGAGATGTCTCCATGGTAACTGACATGGGACTCAAAGTGAAACAACTGTGAGGTGTAGAAAGAGAAGTGCATGGAGCCGATCTGCTGAGCATGAAAAGTGATGATGTGGTGCCGTTTCTCACAGCCTTCTGCGCTGCTTGTTATACAACGATTCCTTTAAGAACTGTCCATAAAACGTCTAAAGGAATGGGTTGTGGTAGCTTTTTCGGAGTATATGGCCATGGTCTAGAGGCATTCTCTCCTGACGTTTTGCCTGCATCTATGGCAAGCATCCTCAGAGGTAGTGAGGTCTGTTGAAACTAGGAAAATTGGTTTATATATCTGTGGAGTGAACAGGGTGGAACAAAGGACTCTTGTCTGCTGGAGCTAGGTGGGAATGTTTCAATTGACCCCCTTGATTAGCATATAATGGCCTGACCATGATTAGCATATAATGGCCTGACTTGATTAGCATATAATGCCTGACCAAAAAACCTACAGTGATTCCGGCCATGAAAGCCTTCGACAATACGTCTAAAGGAGTGTTAATCCCTGTATTGTTTAAAATGTTCAATTGGTTGTGCGTCAAGGGTCTTAGAGGGAATGTTTGGCAGAAGCAAATTGTTTAAGGGAGGGAGGGAAGGAAGGAAGGAAGGAAGGAAGGAAGGGAGGGAGGGAGGGAAACGGAAGGAAAGGGGTATTATTGAATTGGAAGAGACCACAAGGGCTCTCCAGTCCAACCCCTGTTATGCAGGGAAAAACAAAAAAGAGAAAAGGAGGAAGGATGGAAGAAAGGAAGAAAGAGAGAGGAAGGAAGGAAGGAAGGAAGGAAGGAAGGAAGGAAGGAAGGAAGGAAGGAAGGAAGGAAGGAGAGGGAGAAAGGAAGGAGGAAAGGGAGGGAAGGAAATATAAAATCATCAAATTGGAAAAAACCACAACCACAAGAGCGATCCAGTCCAATCCCCGTTTTGCAGGGAAGCACAATCAAAGAAGAAAGAGAAGAAAGGAACAGGGGAAGGGAGGGAGGGGACAGGAAGGAAAGGGAAAGGAAAAGGAGGAATGGAAAGATAAAATCACCAGATTGGAAGAGCCCCCAAGGGATAACTGAATCTCTGTTATGCAGGGAAATACAATCAAAAAAGAAAGGAAAGTAACAGAGGATGGAAGGAAGGAAGGAAGGAAGGAAGGATGGAAGGAAGGATGGATAGAAGGAAGGAAGGAAGGAAGGAAGGAAGGAAGGAAGGAAGGAAGGAAGGAAGGAAGGAAGGAATAGGACGCAAACTACTGTTGCCTCTTTGGTTGGCTTATCAGAGGTGGTGCCAGAAACAAACAAGAAGGGCTCAGGGTACCTTTTGCGCAACCAACGCATCTCCATCCCTCTCCCTTCTTTCCTCGCTGCAGCTCCCTCTTCCAGGACAACCTGGACACGGTCAGCGCCTACGCCCTCGAGCTGCAGAAGCAGGTGGTGCCCTTTGCCACGCAGCTCCACGGCCGCCTGGCAGAAGACTCCCAGAAGCTGAAGGAGCAGCTGCAGGAGGAGCTGAACCAGCTGCGCGCCCGCATCACGCCTCACGCCGAAGAGGTCCGGCGGCAGATGACCAGCACCATCCAGAACCTCCAGGCCCAGCTCAGCCCGTACGCCGAGGAGCTGCGCAGCCAGGTGAACCGTAACGCGGCCGAGCTGCGCCAAGGGCTGGAACCACTGGCGGAGGAGATGCGGGCCAAGCTGCGGGAGAACATGGGCGACCTCCAAGGGGTCCTCTCCCCTTATGCCGACCAGTTGCAGCAGCGCATCGAGGCGCAGGTGGGGACCCTCAAGGCCACCCTGGACCCCTACGCCAACAAGCTCAAGGCCGAGGCTGACCGGACCCTGGAGGAACTGCGTGCCAGCCTGGCACCCTTTGCCCAAGATGCCCAGGGCCAGCTCAACCGCCAGCTGGAGGGCCTCTCCTTCCAGATGCAGAAGGGTGTGGAGGAGCTGAAGGCCAAGCTCTCTGAAGGGGCCCTCGACCTGGAGACCAAGCTGACCCCCTTGGTCCAGGAGCTGCGGGAGAAGCTGCAGCAGGATGCCTCCGCAGTGCAAGAGAGCCTGACGCCCTACCTGGACGGGCTAAGCGGGCAGATCGGGGGCCGGATCGAGGAGTTCCGCCAGGCGGTGGGGCCCCATGGAGAGAGCATCAACCGGCTCCTGGTGCAGAAGGTGGAGGAGATGAGGAGCAACCTGGAGCCCTACGCCGACAAGGCTGGGGACCACCTGGGCTTCCTGGAGAAGAACCTGAGGGACAAGCTGGCCTCCTTCTTTGAAGGCCTCAAGCAGAAGGAGAACTGAAGGGACCGTCCACAACAGCCTTTCCTTCCTGACTCTGGGGTCTTTGGGCTTCAGAGCTTGAGGCTCTCCAAACTCTCACGATGGCCTTTGTCTATGACTCCAACCCTCTTGGGCTTCAGAGTTCGAGGTCTTCCAAACCCCCACAAAACCCCACAATGGCCTTTCTTTCTTTTGTGACTCCAACCTTCTTGAGCTTCCGAGCTTGAGGTTCCCTGAAATCTCCCAAAATCCCATAGTGGCCTTCTTTTCTTCTATGACTCCAACCCTCTTGGGCTTCAGGGCTTGAGATCCTCCAAAATTCCCACAAAATCCCACAATGATTCTCTAACAGAATGATTGAGTGCTTTGTTTAGCTAAAGTTGACTCTCCTTCACCAGTAAACAGAAACAGAAGGGGTTTCATGTTGATGTATGCAGACGATCTAGCACTCATCTCCCTCTCTTGGTTGGGTCTGAAAAATCTTCTGAAGGCTTTCAGTACCTATCTGTCAATAAATTACTCCAAGACCAAGATTATGGTATTTGGCAGGCACTACCTCAGGTATAAATGGTCTTTAGGCCAACATGTCATAGAACGAGCCCATCTATTCAAACAATGGTCTGTGACTCTGTGATTCCAGCGACATTTTGGAGGACCTCAAGCTCGGAAGCCCAAGGGGGCTGGGGAGGGTCGAAATCTTCATCGTGGCCAATATTATTTGGCATCTCTGTTACTCCATTTGCTTGTTCGCTGCTGCTAGCAACTTCCGCGCACTTTATGTGTCTGTGCAAACACATCTAGTTAGCAAAGGTTGCAGACTGTGCTGTAATAAACGAGCAACTCAGCAATGCACGATGGGACTCTAGTTTCTTTCACGAGGGGGCATTTGGGGCCCTTGGGAGGCTGCGTGTGGGTGGATCATCTCCCCAGGGTGTCCTTTGGGTGGGTTTTGGCTTCAGTGCATAACCAACATACGATAAGGCTCAAGTCATAGGTTTTCGGCTGCCTTTTTAGATATTTAGGCGTCCCTATCGCTGGGTTTTTCAGTTTGCAACAATGGGGGAGTTTACTGGATGACAAGTCCCAGGGCCGCTGTCCACTGAGGGGATTCTGCAGCCCAAGAGAGTCTGTTTGCTCAGCTCTGCAAACACAGGAGCCCCTCGGTGGGGCCAAAGGTCTCGGTGACGTCCGTCCAAGTGACTTCCAGCAAAAGCTCTTGTTTACAGGCCAAACCTCGGAAGAGGTCAGAGTCTGCACAGCCCACAAAGTCCAGCTTGTGGCCTCTCTCTGCACAGCCATCAGCCCACTGTGTGCGTCTTTCTTCCCTGGAGCTGACCGCTGACCGCTCACCTTTCCGCAACCGGCCCTCTCCAAGGCTTTCCTAAAAAATGCCCCAGCGGCAGCTAAGCAGGGTGATTGCCCAGAAATGTCATAGAATCATAGAAGAGACTGCATGGGCATCTAGTCCAAGCCCTTGCTATGCAGGAAAAGCACAATCAAAGCATTCCCGGGAGGTGGACATCCAGCCTTTCCTTAATGAATACTACTACTACTACTACTACTACTACTCCTACTACTAATAGAGTTGGAAGAGACTGTATGGCCAATCTAGTCCAACCCCGTTCTGCCATGCAGGAAGAGCACAATCAAAGCATTCCCGGCAGGTGGACATCCAGCCTCTCCTTAATGAATAATACTAGTTATCTATATAAACAAAAATGTAATGTTTGTTTGTGGGATTAACAGAACTCAAAAACCACTGGACGAATTGACACCAAATTTGGACACAAGACACCTGCCAGGCCAATGAGTGACCATCACTCTTAAAAACACTGAAAAACACAGCAGAAAAGACTTTAAAAGCCAAAAAAAAAATTACATTACAACTCATGCATAACCCCCCCCCCCCCACACACACACATATATACACATATACACAAATATTATACACATACATATACACACAGAAAACACATATACACAGACTGGGCCATAGCAGCACGTGGCAGGGGACAGTTAGAAACAACAACAACAACAACAACAACAACAACAACAGAGTTGGAAGAGACTGTATGGGCCATCTAGTCCAACCCCATTCTGTCATGCAGGAAAAGCACAATCAAAGCATCCCCGGCATGTGGACATCCAGCCTCTCCTTCATTAATAATAATAATAATAATAATAATAATAATAATAATAAGTCTGGATTATTGATGTCGCCATTCCAGGTGACAGTCGCATTGAGGAAAAACAACAGGAAAAACTCAACCACTATCAAGACCTCAAAATCAAACTGCAAAGACCAGTCCAGGTGGTCCCAGTGGTCATGGGCGCATTGGGTGCCGTGCCGAAAGATCTCAGCCGGCATTTGGAAATCATAAACATCGACAAAATCATGATCTTTCAATTGCAAAAGGCCACCTGACTTGGATCTGCACGCATCATTCGGAAATACATCACACAGTCCTAGACGCTTGGGAAGTGTTCGACTTGTGATTTTGTGATGCTAAATCCAGCCTAGAGATCTCATCTGCTGTGACATACTGTGCTTTTGTGTCAATAATAATAATAATAATAACAATTGGAAGAGACTGTATGTGCCATCTAGTCCATCCCCATTCTGCCATGCAGGAATAGCACAATCAAAGCACCCCTGACAGATGGCCTTCTAGCCTCTGTTTGAAAGCTTCCAAGGAAGGGGCTTCCACCACACCTCCAGACCTGGGAATGTTTTAGTTGCCCTCCTCTGAACACCTTCCAACTTAGAGTCAATATCTCTCTGGAATTGCTTTGTCCAGAATTGGAGACAGGGTGGTTCCAGGTGAAGAAGTCTGAGAGAGGGCACCAGGACTTCCCTCGGTTTGCCCATACCTGTTATAAAGTCTCAAGCAATTCAGCATAGAGCAGAACAACTCCTTTCAAACTAAGGATCACACAATTAAACAGGAAATGACACTTTCAAACCAGGAACAGAAATAAAATTCCAAATGTTGTCACAGAATGCAATAAGCACCTCTGCATTTGTGTACGTGGGAAATAATTTGTATTGAGTCTTGGAGAAAAGGCAGGATATAAGCTTGCCAGATTCCTCCCTCCCATTGCTGCTGCTGAACTCTATCCTATACCACTTGTACTGTAATGTTTCCCAGTTCATTTGTCTGGTTGTTTAGGGAGGGTGTGTGTGTGTGTCTTTTGTCGTGCAAGGAGTGACTTGAAGAACTGCAAGTCGCTTGTGGTGTCAGAGAATTGGTCGTCTGCAAGGACGTTGCTCAGGGGACGCCAGGATGTTTTGATGTTTTTACCACCCTTGTGGGAGGCTTTTCTCATGTCCCCCTGCATGAGGAGCTGGAGCTGATGGAGGGAGCTCATCCGTGCTCTCCCCGGATTCGAACCTTCAGTTCTGCCGGTGAAGTCGATAGGAACTTTAGGAGGGTCTGCCCAGGAGGAGAGACCCCGAGACCCCACCAATGAGGGATCGCTACTTTGGTGAGCAATGAGAAGCCTGATTTCCAAAATAATCGAGAAGAAATCTCGCCAAAGTTGAAGACGCGGCACCAAGGTGTTTTATTAGCGATTCAGCTGAAAAGGATGCAATGTAGCAATCATTCGCCTACAGAGCATGTGGTTACAGAGATCAGAGGCATTTTTATAGGAAATACAGGCTTACAAGTTTCAAAATTCCCGCTCCTCGCCTTCCTCCCGGCTCGATGTTGATTGGCTGGCAGGATAACAGCTGGGAGGAGGCGTGGCCGCCCTCCCCACGCCAGAGCCAATCACAGAGCTCCTCCGCTGTGCAGGAGCCAATCAGGAAGCTCCCACCGCCTTGGCGCGCCGGCAAATCAGGAGGAAGGGAGGCGGGACGAAAAGAAACAATGCTTTCATGAGTGGATTATAGGATTTTCATGTCCGGGGGCCCCTTGAGTCTGAAAACCGGCCTTCTAAAGAAGCCAGAGCTATTGTCCTCAGATGGGTCTGTGATTAGTAATGATTACTTAATCCGAGTTTTCCTGTCGCCATCAGATATGACATAATGAAGTGGCTGGGGTGGATGTCCGTTGTGGGGAGTTTTGAATGAAGAAAACAGTTTTGGGGGAACTAGACTTTCCGAAGGTCAGTCTTGCTCCCCCATTGAGATGTGATCAAAAGTTTGCCAAGCAGGGGCCCGAGGGGTTTCCGTATCCGCGGTTTGGAGGAGCGCAGATTCAGCCTCCCCGAGACGCCAGGAAGGCATCCCGGGCAGGCCTGCAGTCTCCTGCGGCCTGGAAAAGGTTAGTTTCGTGCATTTGGATAGTTTCAGGCAAGAAAGAGACACAAAGTATTAAGCTAGAGAGTTTAAGAGTTTCAATTTGATTAATCTTTATTTGGGGATTAGTGACATAGTTGGGGCTAGCAAGGAAGTGAAAGGAGAGAACACACGGCTGTGAAGAGTCCCTGGTTGAGGCTGCTGCTGGGGCACATTCCATCAGTTTGGCCCAACTTGGCAATCAGGAACCTGTGGAACTCCCTGCTGCTGGTCAAACCAGCTTGAAGGCAGAGGCCTGGGATGCCCTCGACGACACCAGCACAGGGGTTTAACCCACTGTGCCACTGGGGGCTAGGACGTGGGTGAAAGAGAGGCAAAGGCCAGCCTTTGCTTCACCCCAAACGCAGAGAGCAAAGAGCCGGCTTCTGGTGCATCCGTGGAGGTTGGTGGCCGAGACCCCTGTGACTGAAAGTAGGGCAACACACACCCAGCCCGGCCAGCGCTCTCTGCTCGCCCGCTACCTGACCCCACTGCATCCATGGGTTGGGGGCTGGCCCCGGGTGACCTCTGTGCCCCCTCTGCTGCCCGACACAGAGACCGACGTCATGCCGGCACCTTTGAACCTCTGTGTTGTGTTTACCAGGTGCCGGGTGGCGGGGGTCTACGGCCAGGCACCCAAACGTCCCGCTATCTCCTCTGGCCTCTTGCATAAAAGGAGAACCACTGCATGCATCCTAGGGATCCTGGCAAAAGGAGGCAGCAAACCCCTTGCAAACAGGTAAGGAGACTGTGGCAACCGCCCATCAAGCTGCTCTGCACCGGCGACACTGACCAGGCACCGTTACACTTAGGTTTTGGAGCTAGACTTTCCATACAAAAGTAGGCAAAGAGGGATGCATCATGCAAGCAACACGGACGGTGCCCATTGGATGGAGACTGGAAAAGAGGCGAATGTCCTCCCATGTGTTGCAGCATCGGCGCTCCTAATACAGGCTTCCTTTTTGTGCCTCCTTGCAGAGTCCGAGGACCGCCATGATGCCTGGCGTGGCTCTTCTCACAGCATTCCTGTTGGCCTTCTCAGGTAGGGAGTCTTCCCTCAATTGTCAGGAGGTGGAAGGGACAGGGGCATCTTTGGGAGGAGCCGCTGGAAGGACCAGGGAGGAGGCCTTGATCCAGGAGTCTTTAGGGCAGTGTTTCTCAACCTGGGGGTCGGGACCCCTGTGGGGGTCGTGAGGGGGTGTCAGAGGGGTCACCAAAGACCATCAGAAAACATAGTATTTTCTGTTGGTCATGGGGGTTCTGTGTGGAAGGTTTGCTCCAATTCTATCATTGGTGGGGTTCAGAATGCTATTTCATTGTGGGTGAACTATAAATCCCAACAACTACAACTCCCAAATGGCTAGTTCTATTTTCTCCAAACTCTACCAGTGTTCACATTTGGGCATATTGAGTATTTGTGCCAAGTTTGATCCATATCCATCATTGCTCGTGTCCACAGTGTTCTCAAGGTCAACCAGACCTTCCCAGTATTTTCTCTTGGTCATGGGAGTTCTATGTGCCAAGTTTGATTCAATTCCATCATTGGTGGAATTCGGAATACTCTTTGATTGTAGGTGAACTACAAATCCCAGCACCTACAACCCCCAAATGACAAAATCAATCCCTGTCCAACCTCACCAGTATTCAAATTTGGGCGTATTGGGTATTGGTGCCAAATTTGGTCCAGTGAATGAAAATACATCTTGCATATCAGATATTTACATGACGATTCATAACAATAGCAAAATTATAGTTGTGAAGTAGCAACAAAAGTAATGTGATGTTTGGGGGTCACCACAACATGAGGAACTGTATTAAGGGGTCACGGCATTAGGAAGGTTGAGAACCACTGCTTTAGGGAGCCAACCTGGCAGCAGAAAGACACCATGCGCTGATGCAGAGCAGCATTGTTGGAAGCCATCTCCTTACAGAGGAGCTATGCTTTCCTGCAGGGCAGGGACCTTTTCCAACCCTAACACTCTTTGATTCTATGGAGAACCACCTGGAGAACAAACCCTCCAGCAGCCCCAGGGACAGATCCAACTAATCTTTAATCCTCCCATTTAGGGATGCAGATAAAGCATTTGATAACATTTATTGGACATTTATAGCTGGATTTCTATTGGCGATAGAAGGCGGGGAAAACTTTAGAAATGGCCTCAGCTGCAAACTGCAAAAATAAAAAATAAACAAAGATTTAACACACAAAACAGAAATCCAAAAAAGGAATAAGACATCGAGCTGCTTTTATAATGTCCCTTCCCTCTGCTTTCCTCCTTTTGTACTCGGCTTAACTTTTGGCTCCGCTCTGCTTGTGCATTCCTCTTTAGTATTTATTTATTTACTTACTTACTATATTTGTATATCGCCCTTCTCACCCCATTGGCTGCCTTGGGCTTGCTTTGCATTTGCACATCCAAACGTGCCTCCATTTCCCTCTGTGAAATGCAAGGAAGTCCAAAAGGACACCGAGGACCCACTGATATGATCCCCGGTGGTGGTGCTTACTTATTGCTCGAGCAAGCTCCGTTACACAGCAGCAAGAATGCACATTAATAATTGGTGTATGTGATATGTGCTTCCAAAATGGTCTTCTCCTCTCCCTTGCCTTGCACAGCCTCCCAGGCCGGTCCTCTGCTGAGCAGCTCCGGAGACGATGCCCGCCAATTGACTCGCGACAAGGATGCTGCAGAAGAAGCCCAGCGGCTCAAATTGGGGCAAAGGACACCGTGAGTGGGGAACCCTTTGCTAGGTTTTCCTCGGTCACAGACTCACTGTTTCATGGGTTTTTGCCTCCCAGTTTATGAATGGTTGCCATTCTCCTGAGCGGCGTTCTAATCCCTCTGTGTGTGTGTGTGTGTGTGTATATGTGTGTGCGTGTGTGTGTGCATACACAGTGTTCCCTCGCTACTTCACGGTTCACTTTTTGCAGACTCGCTGTTTAGCGGGTTTTTGCCTCCCAGTTTATGAATGGTTGCCATTCTCCTGAGCGGCGTTCTAATCCCTCTGTGTGTGTGTGTGTGTATATATATATGTGTGTGTGTGTGTTTGTGTGTGTGTGCATACACAGTGTTCCCTCGCTACTTCACGGTTCACTTTTTGCAGACTCGCTGTTTAGCGGGTTTTTGCCTCCCAGTTTATGAATGGTTGCCATTCTCCTGAGCGGCGTTCTAATCCCTCTGTGTGTGTGTGTGTGTATATATATATGTGTGTGTGTGTGTTTGTGTGTGTGTGCATACACAGTGTTCCCTCGCTACTTCACGGTTCACTTTTTGCAGACTCGCTGTTTAGCGGGTTTTTGCCTCCCAGTTTATGAATGGTTGCCATTCTCCTGAGCGGCGTTCTAATCCCTCTGTGTGTGTGTGTGTGTGTGTATATATGTGTGTGTGTGTGTGTTTGTGTGTGTGTGCATACACAGTGTTCCCTCGCTACTTCACGGTTCACTTTTTGCAGACTCGCTGTTTAGCGGGTTTTTGCCTCCCAGTTTATGAATGGTTGCCATTCTCCTGAGCGGCGTTCTAATCCCTCTGTGTGTGTGTGTGTGCATGTCTGTGTGTATACACAGTGTTCCCTCGCTACTTCGCGGTTCACTTTTTGCAGACTCGCTGTTTAGCGGGTTTTTGCCTCCCAGTTTATGAATGGTTGCTGTTGTCCAGAGCAGCGTTCTAATCTCACCTCCTGGCAAGGATGGGGTGTGAAAGGGGGTTTCGCCCTCCCCCTCGGGAGAGAGGCAGCCAATCAAGAGAGACTGCAAAGCAAAGCAGAGACAGCTAGCTAAAAAAAAAGTGTGCAGAGCCTTTAAATCTCTCCTCGCTTCTGCCTCACCCTCGGAATGCGATATACATAGATAGCGTGCCGACTTTTGGATTTTCACTTTTCATGGGTGGTCCTTGTCACGTTGCCAGGGCTCTACCTTGTTTAGGTAGAGATGAATCAAAACTCCCAGTTTTATCAAACAGTTTAATTAATTAAAACAGCACTTACTTGCTGGCTGTTTTAATAGACCAAAATATAAAACGCAAAGATAGGACTTAGCTACAGAATAAACAAAAACAGATAGCAAAAATAACTTCGTAGTCAAAAGGGTCCAGTCCAGTGGTCAAATGCCGAGAGTTCAATAAACAAAATCCAGGGAGCAAGAGTCTATAGTCAAAAGCCAGTCCAAAGGTTCAAGGTTCCAGGATTCCAAGATTACAGGACCTGGGGGAAAATCCAGCAACATCCACCATCAAAATGCAACAAATACTTAGCTCCTTAAATCCAGTAACACCCAGCTGCAACCCATCTCCTGCACACCTCCGCCCCTCATTGCTTTCACCCATGAACTTCCACTTACAGATCACCAAACCCTCTAGAACTAATACTCACAGTAACCTTTCCATCACTAACCACCATCAACTGCAGAACATATGACAGTATGCATTGGGTAGAGTGGTGAAAAGCGGTTGGAGAGCTCCCTCAAGCGGGCTCCTGCAGAAATGGAGAGAATTGGATAAAGGATTTATAGAAATGCAGTTTTAATGTGGAGCTTTAATGGAAATATGGGTATTTGTTGAATTTTTGCAAAGTTTGTACTTTTTCATTGTGTTGTAACCTGCCTCGAGCCGCAGGTAGAGGTGGGTAGGAATTATTATTATTATTATTATTGTTCAATTTCATTCAATCTACTCATCGCAATACTAATAACAACAACAACAACACTTTATTTACACTCCACCCTTCTTCCCAAGAGGACTCAGAGCAGATTACAGTATATGTAAACAGACACAGGGAAACATTCAATGCTTTGTTACAATGCCATACAACGACACAAATACGCAGACAAAAGCAAAGGCTTCTCCTTTCATTTCTGGCTCTGGTGGAGATGCTCATCTCCATTTCCAGCCTGAGAAGCCTGTGTTGTCCGTAGACAATTTCTGGCCATGTGGCCAGCATGACGACATGGAGCGTTTTTTGCTTTTCCTGCTGATTGATCTATTCACCTTTGAATGTTTTTGAACTGTTAGGCTGGCAGGAGCTAGGGCTAACAGAGGGAGCTCACCCCATCCCGCGGATTGGAACTGCCAACCTTGAGGAGCACAAGGGTTTAACCCAGTGGTTCTCAACCTGGGGTCCCCAGATGTTTTTGGCCTACAACTCCCAGAAATCCCAGGCAGTTTACCAGCTGTTAGGATTTCTGGGAGTTGAAGGCCAAAAACATCTGGGGACCCCAGGCTGAGAACCACTGGTTTAACCCATTGTGCCACCTGTGGCCCCATCGTATTTACCACATGGGTGCATTCTGGTTTATCCTTTCCTGCGCAGAAACCTGAAGGATCGCCTCCAGGATGGCGATGGCCACCCCATGTCCTATCTTCTGGAGAAGCTGTCTACGTTGACCGGTGGCCTGCAGCCCTTGTCCTATCAAGACGCGAGGAGCCTTCGGGAGCTGATCGGGAGGGAGATGGAGGGCCTCCACACAAAGATCTCTCCTTACCTGGGTGAAGAGGGCCAGCAGGTTGGACAGGCCTTGGATGACGTACGCTGCTGCTTGGTGCCTGTCGCGGAGGAAGTGATGAACCAGGTCTCACTCCTCGCAGAGGAGCTCAACCAGCAGCTCGGGCTGTCGAGTCCCTCCCTTGACGGTGTGGATGTTGTGGCTCAGCAAGTGGCAAAGGATTTTTCTGACATGTCTGAGGATGAGGGGTTTCAAAGTGATGGGTCTGTCAATGGACGAAGAGACACAGGCAGTTGAGGCTGATGTTTTGCATTCCTGTGATCATTCAAGTGAAACCCATTCTCTTGGGAAACTGCCTTCAGCCAATGGGGAGTTTTCCCGAGAAGCCAGATTAGATTTGAGAACGAAGGGAGTGAAAAATAGACTAATTAGACATTCTGAGAGAATCCGTGAGAAGACCTTGAAGCCCAGGTGCGTTCGGCATGATCTCATGGCTACTTGGTCGGGCTTAAATTAAGTGGCATTGGCTTTACACCTCTACAACGTTGCTAAAAGGATGGCATCCCTGTCTCAACTCTCAAGTTCATGATTCAAGTTTCTTGTTCTGTTTCATGACTTTGTTCCTTGGAGAGTTTGCCTTGGAAAAAGTTCCTGGTTTCTGAATTCCTGCTTGAAGTGCTGCTGTGGATTTTGGTTCTCTTGGCTTTATGTACCTCGTCATTTTGGATGATTGCTATTTTGTATTTTCTATTCTACTGACCCTTTTGGATTTTCCCCCTTTTCCTCCTTTTGTACCTGTTTTCTTTAATAAACATTTTTAGAAAAGAACAACTGGACTCTGGTGTGGTGTTGAGTGAAAAGGTGTTTCAGCACTAGGGTGCAACACAGGTGAACCTGGTCTCCCTCCATGCAACGGAGCTCAACTGGCAAGTCGGGATGGCAAGTCCCTCCCTTGACGGTGTGGATGAGGTCCAGATGTTTGGAGCGAATAAGGGCTTTGACACTGGACGAATGGACACCCAATTTGGACACAAGACACGTGTCAGGCCAATGAGTGACCATCACTCATAAAAACACTGAAAAACACAGTGGAAGGGACCTTAAAAATTTATATATATATATATATATATATATATATATATATATATATATATATACACATACATACACACACACACACACACACACACACACATATGTAAAGAGAAAACCACCTAAATACATATATACACAAATATATATATACACAGACAAAGCACATATACACAGACTGGGCCACAGCAACGCGTGGCAGGAGATGGCTAGTAATAATAATAATAATAATAATAATAATAATAATAATAATAATAATGTATTGGGCTGTGGCAGTGGGCTTTCCATAATAATAATAAGTATTAACCTATGAGAATGAGCTTTCAATAATAATAATAATAATAATATGTGTTGGGTTGTGACATGCTTCCAATAATAATAATAATAATAATAATAATAATAATAATAATAATAATAATAGCAACAATAATTAATATGTTAGGATGAGGCAGTGTGCTTTCCATAACAACAACAACAGCAACAACATGTTGGGTTGTGACAGCATGCTTTCAATAATAATAATAATAATAATAATAATAATAATAATAATGTGTATTAACCTAGGAGAATGAGCTTTCAATAATAATAATAATAATAATAATAATATGTATTAACTTATGATAATGAGCTTTCAATAATAATAATAATAATAATAATAATAATAATAATAATAATAATAGTAATATGGGAGGTTTCTTTCCTCCCTCCTTCCCTCCACGTGGAGACTGGGCGTGACGTCACGTGCTTGCTCCGCCCCCGGAGCTAGGCCAGAGAGGTGCGCATGCGCGGAGCTCCACTTCCGCCTTGGGCCTCATTCCTGCTTCCGGCCGGCGAGGGAGGCGGTTGTGTGGCGCTCCAGGCGGGCCAGGGATGATGTGGGCGGTGGGGGAGCCCGGCGGCCCTTCGCCTCGCTCGCCTTCTCCTCCTGCGGCCTCGCTCTCCTCCTCGTCCTCCTTCCCGGCGGGGCCCGCCTTCCGCCCGCTCAGCGCCGACGACGAGGAGCAGCTCCCGGCCGAGGTGGAGTCCCTCTGCATGGCCTGCTTCCGGAACGTAAGCCTCACTCCACGCCGCCGCCTCTCCTCCTCAGCAGGCCTTCGCAGGAGCTTGGTCATCATGTCCCCGACTGGGAAAGTGGCCTTCCCCACTATCACAATAATAATAATAATAATAATGTATAGGGCTGTGGCAGTGGGCTTTCCATAATAATAATAATAATAATAATAATAATAATAATAATAATGTGTATTAACCTATGAGAATGAGCTTTCAATAATAATAATAATAATAATAATAATAATAATAATGTGTTGGGCTGTGATGTTGGGCTTTTCATAATAATAATAATAATAATAATAATAATAAATATGTTGGGATGTGGCAGTGGGCTTTCCATAATAATAATAATAATTTATTTATTTAATTTATTTATTTATTTAATACACTTGTATACCGCTAATATCTCAGCCTAAATCGGCGACTCATTGTGGTTTACAGCAATTAAAAGCAATGTACAATTTAAAACAACAACACGTAAACAATACAAATTATTGGGCCACCAATAATAATACCATGCTTCTCGTCACAAAAATCACAGTCCAGAGTTCGTCATCCATAGTTAACCAGTCCTTAGTCTATAAATTCAATAGTAACAAACTAATTGAATGCTTGTTTACACAACCATGTTTTTAATCTCTTCCGAAAGACCATCAGCGAAGAGGCTGATCGTATCTCTATAGGGAGGGTGTTCCAAAGCCGAGGGGCCACCACAGAGAAGGCCCTGTCTCTCGTTCCCGCCAGCCGCACTTGGGAAGCCGGTGGGATAGAGAGCAGGGACTCTCCAGAAGACCTTAGGGTCCTGGTGGGCTGATAGGCTGAGATACGTTCGGATAGATAAGTTGGGCCAGAACCGTTTAGGGCTTTAAAGGCCAAAACCAGCACTTTGAATTGAGCCCGGTAGCATATCGGCAGCCAGTGGAGCTGGTGCAGCAGAGGAGTTGTGTGCTCCCTGCGCCCCGCTCCTGTTAGTACCATGGCTGCCGCCCGTTGGACTAGTTGGAGCTTCCGGACTGTCTTCAAAGGCAACCCCACGTAGAGAGCGTTGCAGTAATCAAGGCGGGATGTAACCAGAGCGTGGACTACCGTGGCTAAGTCGGACTTCCCAAGGTACGGTCGCAGTTGGCGCACAAGTTTTAATTGTGCGAATGCTCCCCTGGTCACCGCCGAAACCTGGGGTTCCAGGCTCAGCGATGAGTCCAGGGTCACACCCAAACTGCGAACCTGTGTCTTCAGGGGGAGTGCGACCCCATCCAACACAGGCTGTAACCCTATACCCTGTTCGGCCTTGCGACTGACCAGGAGGACCTCTGTCTTGTCTGGATTCAATTTCAATTTGTTCGCCCCATCCAGACAGTCACAGCGGCCAAGCACCGGTTCAGGACCTCGACAGCCTCCTTAGTAGCAGGTGGAAGGAGTGACAGAGTTGGACATCATCTGCGTACAGATGACATCGCACTCCGAAACTCCGGATGATCTCGCCCAGCGGCTTCATGTAGATGTTAAACAACATGGGAGACAGTATTGAACCCTGAGGAACCCCACAAAACAAAGGTTGTGGGGTTGAGCAGGAGTCTCCCAGTAACACCTTCTGAGACCGACCCTCGAGGAATGAGTGGAGCCACTGCAGAACAGTACCTCCCAGACCCATCCCCGCGAGGCGTCCCAGAAGGATACCGTGGTCGACGGTATCGAAGGCCGCTGAGAGGTCGAGCAGCACCAACAGGGACACACTCCCCCTGTCGAGCTCCCGACGCAGATCATCCACTAAGGCGACCAAGGCTGTCTCGGTACCATGCCCCGGCCTAAAGCCAGACTGTGCCGGATCTAGATAATCCGTGTCTCCAAGAATGCCTGGAGTTGTGAGGCCACCACATGTTCCATGACTTTGCCCAAAAAGGGGAGATTGGAAACAGGCCGATAGTTGACGAATTGAGTGGGGTCCAGTGATGGTTTCTTCAACAGCGGTTTTATCACAGCTTGTTTTAAGCTGGCTGGAATTTTGCCTTCCCGAAGGGAGGCATTAACCACCACCTTCACCCACTCGGCCAATCCCCCTCTGGCCTCCTTTAGAAGCCAGGATGGGCAGGGGTCTAGGATGCATGTGGTAGCTCTCATTCCTCCAAGCACCTTGTCCACATCCTCGGATTGAACCAATTGAAATGAATCCATCAAAACCGGACAAGCAGATGCTCGTGTTACATCCTCTGATACTGCCGTTAATATGGTATCCAGTCCAGAGCGGATCAAAGCGACTTTGTCTGCGAAGAACCGAGCAAAAGCTTCGCAGCGAGCTGCCGAGTCATCAGGGCACCCATCCTGAGTGGTGGGTTTTAATAGGCCTCTGACAACTCGGAACAGTTCAGCCGGACGGTTCTTAGCAGACGCAATAGTGGCCGCAAAGAAGGTTTCTTTGCGGCTTTTATTGCCGCGGCATATGCCCTTAAAAAGGACACAAACCGTGTTCGATTTGGCTCGCTCGGATCCGAACGCCACACGCTCTCTAGTTCCCTCTTCTTTCGCTTCAACACTGCCAGCTCCTCAGTGAACCAAGGGGCTGGTTTAGCTCGGCTACTTGAGAGGGGACGTTCTGGAGCGATCGTGTCTATTGCCCTAGTCATCTCCCCATTCCAGAGAGCGACCAGAGCATCAACAGGATCACCAACCGAGGTGGCGGGAAATTCCCCAAGAGCCATCAGGAATCCATCCGGATCCATAAGCCTCCTGGGGCGGACCAATTTAATGGGTCCTCCACCTCTGCGGAGGTTAGGGGGTGCAGTGAGTCTAAAGCTGACCAGGTGGTGGTCGGTCCATGGCAACGGAGAGATGGATAACTCCTCAACACCGCCACCTTCCTCCCATCCCTGGCAGAAAACCAAGTCCAATGTATGTCCAGCACTGTGGGTGGGGCCAGATACCTGTTGGGACAGCCCCATGGTTGCCATGGTAGACATGAAGTCCTGAGCCGCTCCCGATAAGGCGGTCTTGGCGTGGACATTGAAGTCCCCCAGCACAATAATAATAATAATAATGTGTATTAACCTATGAGAATGAGCTTTCAATAATAATAATAATAATAATAATAATAATAATGTGTTGGGCTGTGATGTTGGGCTTTTCATAATAATAATAATAATAATAATAATAATAATAATAATGTGTATTAACCTATGAGAATGAGCTTTCAATAATAATAATAATAATAATAATAATAATAATGTGTTGGGCTGTGATGTTGGGCTTTTCATAATAATAATAATAATAATAATAATAATAATAATAATGTGTATTAACCTATGAGAATGAGCTTTCAAT